ACTTTTTCTGAAAATTAAGCTTTTATATCGAGGCAGAATCTGTGGTGTGATTTATGAGACAGAGTGTTGTTGAATTTCAGTCACATCCCAAACCCCAGTGACAACAGCTGGGCTGCAACAGAAATAGGCAGGGCCTGTTGAAAGAAGTTCAAAGAAGCTGCTTGTATAATTTACAGAATACAGAAATGTTGCATTGCGTTATCCTAGTAAAACCGAGATTTTTTTCCCCAGTTGTTTTTCTTTTAATTGCATTAAAAAAGATAAAGTATGAAGAACAATATGTATAAGAATAACCCGAATCTTCAAACAACTGACAACAATTACCATTTCTCCTTTTAGAAGGCACCCCCAGTCTTGAGCTATTCACTGCTAGTTGTTGGTCTCAGATCTTCTGGTAGGACAGACTATTGAGACACACACCACTCAAATGCAGCTGGCTACACTCCCTTGTTACTTCTCACCAAGCCTGACCAGCTGTAACTTGGAATTTGATAATATCAAAAGAACATATCTCTCTTGGCAGAGGTATGATATAATAAGCTGTCATGCTTTTTCCCTTGCCTTTGTCTTTTTGAATACAGGTACTAGACACTACCAGAAGACCTAGGGCTGAGCTAACCAGAAAGAGGTCATCAGAGGAAGGTGATGTCGTCTCATCACCTTCCAAGAAGTCTGATGACATAGTGCCAGCCTACTGCCTTACAGAATAATGATTTTACCTTCAACAACTTCTGTCAATGGGATGCTAGAAGATGGTATTATTAGCACAGAATGCACATCCTTGGAAAGGCACCCACAGCTCTTTTAACCAACAGGTCTAGAGAATGATGAATTGGCTGTAGCTTAAGCAAAGCAGCAGTACATTTTGATAACCACAAAGCTGGAAAAAATGATTACAGGGGATCAACCCTGTGATAAGGTAATGTAACCAAATTGGGTTCCATATAGATTTTACAGCTCCACAATACCAGGAGTCAGTGCTGTTCCTTTAAGGCCCTCACCACTGGCAGGTGATCTCTGATGCTCACCCCTTCCTGTTGCATCATTTGAGTGCAAGATTATTTTAGTAAACTGTGTTTGCAGGGTTTTATTTCCTGACAGCTGTCACAATTCTCTGCTGGTTCAATGTCAGTACAAGCCAAGGTATTGATGAGAATCTTTCAGTCATGTGGGATCTCATTGCTCTTGTAAACATCTACTCAAACTCTCTGTGTACCTCTAGCTGTTGACTCTGGAGATAAGAGTATCTAGATCCACCTGCAGCCATTTAGTTTATAACCTGCCCTTTGGCATTAGGCCCATTTCACTAAACCTTACATCTTTCTAGATATAAGAAAAAAAATTAGCTCAGCTTTCATTTTCTCATTTTATGAAAGCAACTGTCTTCAAATAGCATTATATATCCACAATAGAAAACCAATAGAACAATATAATAAGTATTGGAAACATCTGTACTAGGGAAATATGTATACAACACAAAAGGTTTCTATCAAAAAAAAAAAAAAGAAGGATAGCATGAAAGGGATGTCATGGTAATAGATAATACACAAAAAGTGCTATTCCAAGCTTGGCCCTACAGCCAATCATCTGATCAAAGAGACACTGGCAAGTACAGCAGCTGAGTGCCTGTAACCATTGAAAATAATGCAGGAAAAGGAGTGAGTTTGGAGGGCAGCTCAGCTGGACTAGAGCTACATATACACTCACACTATGCAGTAAAGCACTTTTGTACTAGAAGTGATTTACACCAAAGCATGTCTAGGTGTCCCCAACCCCAAAAGGACAGAAAGGGTCTCAGCTCCAAGAAATATGCTCATACATAAAGTGTCCTCTTTGTGTGCAGCCTCACCTTCTGGACACTTCCAGAAACTAGAACCAACATAATTTTTGCCTGGACATAGATATTTTTCTCCCCAGCTGAGTCCAGCTACTTTTCTTCATTGTATTGAAAGTATATCACCTGCAATGTGTCCTATCATTGCATCTGCTGACATCTTCTGCAAGTCTTGTTACTGAGGGCTTCCTTTTATGTGACCTCCAGTAATTCCAGCATGTAAAAGATCACCACCATAATGATAATAAAAGGGCAGATATTGTCCTCTTTGCATGCTGCCTAGTGGCACATGGGGATGGCCTGCTCTCAGTCTTGTTCCTGCTGAGCACGTGTGCAGTCACAATGGCAGAACAATAGTCTGGGTTTAGATGGGTCAACAGAGTCAAACTTAGGTGTTCCTTGAGTAAACATCACCGGATGCACTGTAGTGAGACTTGTGGCCACAGTGCCTCCATTGTGCCCTCTGTGTGTGCATAAACACATGACCATGCATTGTTTATCTGCTTAGCATTTGCAGGTGCTACTTTTAACTACTCGGGATATGTGGAACTGCTCCTGCAGGGGAAGAGCTGGCCAATCCCTCCAGGCAAGAGAGCCCCAACAAAATCCAGCTACAGGAAGCAGGGGCACACCACCACACATGTCACACACTTTCTAACACATTCTCCTCCGCTGTTGTTTTTATTGTTGATCTGCTATTTTCACCTCCTTCCGTCCTCTCCTTTGTTAAGTAGAAGGCTGCTTCTTCCTTGGAAAGGACCCAAGTCATAGAAATTATTGAATGATAATTCACTCATCTAGCTACTGCAGCATGGTTTGTTTGCTTTGCTTCCCTCCAAACCATCCTCACTCCCTGCTCTCCTGCTAGCTCCTTAAAGCTGGAGCTCTCTGCTGCTCCCCCATCTGCACAAGGGTTGGAACAGTGGATTTCCCCTCCCAGCTGGTAACTAGGAACTAAGTGATAAACAGGTTGTAAAATTACATTTGTACATTGCTCAGCAAACTAGGATTTTTTTTCATATTGGCCCATATACACTTAAAACAAACACAGTTTAGCATTATCTGGAATCCGAGAGCTATAAGAAAACAACGAGGAGTTGTCAGTAATGTCAAGGCAATTAAAATTCACACATTGCTTTACGTTTTCACAAACACGCTTTATGTCTTTCTTAATTAGCAAATAATCAGCTGTGTATCTAGAAGACAAGTTTCTTATCTGAAAAGAGCCAGTGATGACACTGCCTGATAAACTATGTGCAATATACTGCAATAACAATTTACTGCACACAAAACCATCTCTTTTTCAGCATACCTAGAGCATGCCAGTGATTGCTGCCTAGGAAATTAGAAAAGAGTATAGGAAAGTATCAGTTCTGTGGATTTTTGAGGATTAATTTCTCAGCATTAAAGTTATTCAAAATAACACACAAAGCCATTCAAACTCAGAGTATGGCTTCTCAGAGCATGAAGGCACACACAGACACTGCACAAAACGAAACAAAGATTATTTGTAACTTTCCCATCAAGGGCTTGCTCAGTCACAATTAAGTACTCACACAGCATATTGTAACAACCTCTGGTCTAAAGGGATTTGAGTGGTTTTCCTATTCTCGGGGTATCAAGAACACATAGAGGTCATGCTGCAGTAAAACAAACTGACAGAATGAAATTTCTACCTATTTAGTTGTGATTACCTTCTCTCCATTACTAGCTCATTACCATTCACCAAGGGCTTGCAACCCCTGGGCAAGTGCCATACCAGGTGCTCACTACACAATGGGCCAGTGCTGAATGAAGCTTAACTAAGATCCAGCTTTATGAAATGCCAGACTAGTCTTCTCTGCTCTATTTCTCACTTCTCTCTATTTAAATTCCACAGGTAGCATAGCTCACACCATAAGTAGTAAAAGCGGGTACTACAGTAGCTTACAAAGGCCCAAATTTATAGCATATGATCACTGTACTACTGACTGCCAACAGAGAATATACCACTCAGAAAGCCAAGGGATAAAAATATAACATAAGGAATCATCATAATTTTGTCTGCCAGAGCCTTGCTGAAACACCTTTGATCTTCCCATTTGATGGCTTTTGTATTTTCCTCTCTGCTGAAGAGGAAAAAAAAAAAGTATATATCAGAGTTCCAAGTTTCTTAGATTCTTTGAACTGCAGTGACCAGCTCCTATGGTTTCAGTCATCACGGTACACTGTTTTTACAAACAAACAAACAAACAAAAACCCACCAAAACAAAACAACCCCAGGTTTTCTTCGTATTTGGCAATATCTATTTGAGGCATACACAACAAAGCAAGGAGTATATACTCAACTACCAGCACCTACTGAAATCAAAGGGTTTGGGTAAGTACTCAAGACACTTCAATAGTGCAGGTTTTTCTTTTTCAAGCAAAAGCTGAGCAAAGAGAGAACCCATTTATGTCGCTTTGCCTCTATCTGTATCATAAAAATTCAACCATCTGTACTTTAGTAAGACTGCATTTGTTGTTGCTTTACATTTTGCAACCTCCTACAAATATCTTCAGAAGCATTTTTAAGGATAACTTAAGAGACCTAAGCACTTTCCCTTTAAACAAGTAGAAGATGGAAAAAGTTTGTCACGAGTATAAACATCAACTAAATTTACCACGACAAAGCCTTCCCATTAGAATTTACCGCTTGCAAGACGTCACAGCCTATAACTCACGCTTCCGAAGTGCAAGAGCAAACCTAAACCACCTGTAATTAACGGCAGGTAATTGTCACATAACGGGACACTCCACCACCTTCGGTCATCCGGCGGCGCTTCAAAACCGCGAACGCCGCGGCGGTTGGGAGGGCAGCGGAGAACGAGAGCATCTCTCCATCAGCGGGGAGCACGGGCCGCGCAGCAGCGCGGGGTGCGGTGCCCGACGCGCCCCGGGCACGGAGCGACGCGGCAGAGGCGGCTGCCCACGGAAAGCTCCCACGCCGTGGGCGGCTTCTTCGGGATGTATGCGCATACACTAACACAAGGAAAAATTGCTGTTTTTTGTTGGTTCTTGTTAAAGTTACTCGGGGGCGGGAGGCGCGGTTGGTGCCGCTTTCCCCCCGCTCTCGCCCTCCGGGCCGGAGGCAGCGCCTGCCCCGCAGCCCCAGCGGGCGCTGAGCTCCTGGCGCGCCCGGGCTCACCTCGATGAGCCGCTGCAGGGCGGGCCCCTGCAGGCAGGTGTGGTTGGCCAGCAGCTCCCAGTGCTCCCGGAGGAGGTTCTGGGCCGCCTGCACCTCGGCCGGCCGCTCCAGCGCCTGCAGCACGACGGCGCCCAGCCCCAGGTAGCCCACGTATGCCGCCAGCAGCACCAGCACCCCCCAGCGCCGCCGCCGCCGCTGCTGCCGCGCCGCCACCATCGGCCCCGCTGCTGCCGCCGCCGCCGCCCCCGGCGCTGGAGAAGCGGCTTGGCCTGGGGCGGGAGGAGAGGGCAGCGCCGGCCCGGCAGCGCCCGGCCCCCAGCACCTCCCCCGGCCTGCCCCTTCCCACCCGCAGCGGCGAAGAGGGGGGCCCAGAGCCGTGCTGGGCAAAGAAGGCGATCGTGCTGCTCGTCTGCAGCCCACCCCACCCCAGCGCCCTCGTCCTTGTCTGGCGCCGCTCCAGGTCCCACCTGTCTGTCCCACAGCGCGGCCCAGAGCTCCCTGATCCGCTCCGCGCCGCTTGTGCCTGAGCTGGAGCCAGCTCCGAGTCACGCTCGCTCCCCCAATGGATGCTACCCAGCCCCTCTCCCAGTCCCGAGTGCTTCCCCCTTCAGCTGGCACTACTTAGAGAGCAGTACGCTAGCACTCTGCATAAATCTGCATTCCTCTTTCACGCAGCAGCTAGGCTAATTTAAAAGGCAGCAAGCAGGTGTTTGTGATAACAATCCTTTGATAGAAACAAGTGAAAAGGTAGCAGCTTGTTTAGAGTCCTTTTATAATTTATGATTTTCCTGTGAAAGATGGGATTACTTTCATATAGGTAGTTTCTGAGAGCTATTTGATTAATTACTTTCTTGTGTAAGACACCATCCAATGTTCCTTTCTGTTCTTTCACTGGTAGATAAAACAGTCAAATCATTTTGGGTGTATAAGGACGTTGTAATTTACCTATTTTGTTACATAATATGAGCTAAAGGTGAATAAACCCAGCAAGTTTCTGCACAGGATGACTTTATACACTGTCAGAGGGTCATGTCTTCTCACTCTGCCCTGCCAGGGAAGTGTACATACAAGTGAGGCAGCCTCCAAAATTGTATTGCCCCCCTTGAAATGTTCTGGTAATGTGCTAATTCATGGTTTTCTGAGATGTGCTTTAAATTGACTAGCATAAACACATGATTTCACTGGCAAGATGCAAAAATTAATATGCAAAGTCTAGACCAATTCCAGTGTAACGGTGTCATCCAGAGCACAGTCTTAGAAAAAAATAATAATGCCGGTTACTTCTCAGTCTTAATTCTGCCTTTTCAGGATATTAATTACTCAGTGATATTTAAAGACAAAATTGGAATTACATATATAATAAAAGAAAACCCTCTATAAATATATATATAAGTAAGAAAAATGAAAGGATACTAAAAAGTATATATTTACTCATCACATTTAAGATCAGGAAATAGATACATCTGAGCTACATTTTGACATTTTAGCTGTATTTAAGCCCAGATAGTTTGTACAAAGCACACTGAGTATAACTATGTTGAAACATTAAGGACTAAACATATAGAATTTAATGTTTATGCTAAAAATATGTAAAACTAATTACAGGTGAGACTTGGGGTTTTTAACTATGAGACGTGCTGTGAAAACTCAGGATATCAGGGATGTGCTTGCTAGAAAGAATTTGGGAAGAAAGAAATCAAGTTTCACAACAAATCTTTACAGAATCATATAATAGTTACATGGCTGTTTCCTTGAGTATTCTCAGAAATGTGACTTGTCTATCAGTCTTCTATTTACATCTCCATAGAGAAAGACTCAAATCTTTGCCAATGATACTTTGGTGTTGTCTGGGAAGACAGCATGTATTTCAGAGGATGAAGAAGAGCTTGTTGAGTAGGCTAAAAGGGTAAGGGTAAGCCTGGAAGGACATTTGCTTCTTGTCCTGCCCTGGGCTGCAGGTGGTAGCTGCTCAGGACAAAGTGCTTCTTTTCCACATCACAGATGAACACTGCCTGGGCCATTGCTTCTGCCACAGCCTGCAGAGCCACATTCAGAGGCTGCAAAGGTGCTGTTTTCCATGTTCAGAGCTGAGCATGTGTGCTCTCCATTCTGGGCAGAAATATACCACTGGGAAAATGGGTTATCAGATGAAAAGAATCCATTTTGTGTGCTCCTCTGGCTCATAGCAAGTTCCTGTGATTGTGCAGTTCTTTCACATTACTTTTCTTAGCTGGTCAGTTGACACTTGATGACTACATTTTTATCAGAGGAACACTACCAGAAAGCACTTGGTCTATCCATCAAAACCTGGGTCGGTACTCCCATTATGTACCTCAAAGTAACTTTTATTATAGATGTGCATGACATTTAGGAGCTTTTCAGAACCTTGAAAATTGACAAAATAAGCAATAGATTTCTATAGCTTATGTAGCACAGGAGAGGGCATCAGTATCCTTCTCATTTCTCTTCCAGCATGGCCATATGCTTGATTTAAGAGTAGCTTTCTGAGTCTTCTGTTGGGCAGCTGAAGAACTGTTGCAGCTACTGTCAGCTTTAGTAAGTGCAGCAGAAGCAAAAAATCCAGAAGGTAGTCTCACCATTTCCTGCTACTTTGCAAAATCAGTATCAGATATGGGAACAATTTTCTGGACTGCAGTAAAAACAATCCAAACTTTCTGCGGTCAGATGTCAAGTAAGGATAATTTTAAGAAACACTTTGCCAGTAAGTGCTTTCTATCACTGATAAACCTCTTTATCATTTTTTTTTTATAGTGTGCAGCATGGTGTAAACAGTAGATAGGATCACCTTTAGACTAGTGCATGTGTTGTGGCTTGATAAAGTACAGAAGGCATGGAAAAAGGCAAGGTGAAGAAAACAGGTTAGATATAGAAGTCAGCAGAACTTCAGTTTTGTCTTTTACATAAAGAGGCCAAAAGTGTCATGGTGTTAACACAAGGCAGGTACAGAGTACAGTGATGGTGATGATGTTAAAAGGGCAAGTGCAAACATTGTGTCCAAAGAGCAGAAAATACTGAGACAAGTTTCCCGTGAGATTTGCAAAAATATAAAAAGCCAGACAGAAGAGAGTTGGCTGCTCCCAGTGAAAGTCTACAGAGAAAGCCATTGCATAAATTTATGGGAATAGCTGAGGGCATAGAGGAAGATCAGTGCAAAAACCAAGGAGATAAAAATCTGTGAGGTAGGTAGTGGTAAGACATGAGGGAAATCTTGGATGGAATAAGCATTTGAATATTCATTTTTTAAATTAGTTGAATAATCACCAGTATTCTTATATGCCAGCATTTCAGATTTGAGTAGCCACACTGCACTATGCAGGAGTCAGCAACCAGCAAAGAAACATGGACCTTATCAGGTGTAAGAGCAAATATCTGCTGTGACCCTCCTCAGAAGTAAAAATCCAGCCCACAAAGTATGAAGGGAAAAATTAGCGACCTACACAAGTCTCTACATGTTTTATAGACACATCTCCAGAATGAAATATCAAAGCAGCTGCCGAAAGGTTGACATTTGATGTTCCTATAGTCTGTCAGACCTGTGCTATCCTGGGGCTAGTCTGCGTACCCAGCCATATTTAACTCATCCTTTACATTAAAGTTCCACTTACAAATGAGTTCAGAGGGATTAATTGATGGTTACTGTGAGATATAAACATACTGAATAAATAGCAGTGAGTATATAATTACAAGCACACCCATGGAACATGTCAGTGATGATTGATGATGGTACCCAAACGAATGGATAATTGTTTTATCAAGTTGCTGGAGTCTAATAGAGAGTATGACTAAAGGGCTGCATCTGAGTGGCAAGTCCCTTATTAGGTGCTTGTGTGTACTTTGGCTTTTCAGCTCCTTTGAGGGTGGCTGCTGCCTCTTTTGACTTAAAATAACTGGGATAAATTCAATGTCCCCGTTTTTGATGGGTCACACAATGGGCCTGACTGAGGATCAGATTTAATGCAAGAACCTATCATTTGCCTTATTTAGAGGTAAACATACAGCATCAGTTCTCTATGGTGCATAATAGCTCTTCTATGACTGGCCCAAAGCAAATTCCAGGCTTTAATGATATTTGTGATCTGGCTAGAAATAAGGATGCCTCTTTGTTTTTAGATTTAGTTTAAAGTGCTGTTTTCAAGTGGCTGTGAAATGAATCTGATAAGGACCTGCTTTGAGCTGGCAGTTTGTCAGTCCAGGCAGAGCTGGACAGACACATAATTTCCTCACAATTAAAAGAGAAGCATTTTAGCCCAGAAAATGAAAGATGTTCATTTCAGACAATATAAACTGAATCTTAATTGAGTGCATATCAATAAGCAGGTGTTCATAACTGATGACATTCCTCTGTGGTTTTGTTTGTTTTCTGATTGGAAATGAAGAAAGATTTCTGTACCTGACTTTTTCCACTTGAGATTCTTGGTGAAATGACTTCTTATTGAAGCTGGGAGGCAGTCACTCTGGATTTTTTGAACATGAGTGACCATAAGAACTGAATCCCACTAGAGAAAGAGAAAGGATAATAACTGATTACTTCAGGGGAAGTTGCCTTAGAATGAGAAGTGTAAAATGAATCCTGGGGCAGTTGGGTAACCATGACTGCTCCTTCCTTGGAGTTTTAACTGGCTGATGCCTACACAGGGTGTGGAAATTTCCATGTATCTGAACCATTTCCTCTTTAGAAAACAATCCACAACATGTGGTTTAGTCCTTTATCCACAGGGGTTGCTTAGTGTGAGATACAGATGGAAGATGCAGTTTCAAGCCTGCTTTCTTTGTACCTTACTCAGCTAGGGATATGGATCCTAGGCTGCTCAGGCTCATCTTCCAATTTGGTGGTGTCTCCTTCTGCCAAGCTTAAATCAGACTTGTGCCACTTTAGCTGAAGGTATCTTTCCATCAAGTCAGCTCCCACGTTGAAAACCAGAGCCAGCCAGGCCAAGCCAAAAACAATCCATATCGCAGTTAGGCTCCGGTACACAGGGATATAGTGCTTGTTGGGGTTCGTGCCTGAAAAATCCAGGAAAATTTGCATATTTATCTTGGCAGCTTTGGTCTGCTAAATACACCCCCTCCACTCTTTGCAAAAGTGTATATGTTAATGAGTTTGTGTGATCCATCAGCAGATGGATATTTTTTTTCATGCCAACTCTCAGGTTAAGCTTAGCACAGTTAGCATGAAATCCCTGAAGCTGAGGCTATATAATAAAAATAGCCATATCTAATATTAATTAGAGATGCTCAAAGTCAATGGTTCCTAGCCAACAACAAAGGAAAAAAATTGGAAATTAAATGTTGAATCCATATTAACTGTATGTTACTCAAGGGGCACACAGGGGATCTCAGATGATTTAGACAGCTACAGTTTAGTGAATAAGTGATTGCTTTTTGGAGAGTAATATTACCTCAGTACTGGGATTCACAATCACTTGGGTAATATGGTAAATGTAGCCATTTTAATTAAGTGGTTACAAGAATCTTAATCACTGGTTTGATATTTCCACAGCATGGGCAATCAGTGCAGCTGATAGAGTCATGAAACTCCACAGCGTGAGATTCAGCATGGGATTCTTTTTTATCTCCTTTTGGGAAATAGTAATGACCTCTAGGAGATGAGAACTAGTACTTGTGAATAAGAAACCTTAGTGATTTTAACAAATAAATACATTAGACATAATCTGTTAAGATTATGCATTTGTTCAGATAAGTGTGTGGAAAAATGTATCTCATGTGTCTTTACCATTATGTTCTCAATCTAGAGGTCTAAAGGCTATGTAATGTCAGTGGGTTTGTTTTCTTTCAGAGGCATCCTGTGGTTATCAGTAATCTTCTCCCCGTTTTAAGTACTGATTATTTAATATTTGATATGATTTGTTGTTGGGAATGGTAGGCACTTGCTAAAACAAAACAGTGTTAGGAGAGTGTGGTTCAAAGGCTTAATACTGAAAAAGGAATTTTATTTATATTCCACCTTTCATTCTTGATAACATTTGTACCAGCCACTGTTGAATGAGTGTTCAGTGGCACATGTGAAATAAGTCAGGTGACTCTTAGGTTGGCTGTCAAGAGAAAAATGCTCCTGTCCTTTAATATATTAGCTCATTGTTACCAGTCTGGCTGAGCTCACTCTTGACCAGATCTATAGTGGAATGGATATCTATGCTCCCTGTATTTCGTTTTATACTAGAGTTATGAATTTCAACAAAGCTCAATCCAGTTCATGATCTTTTTTACCTACTACATAGTCCCCAAATCCAATTGTGCTCAGGGTGATGAAGGTGAAGTAAAAGCCTTCTCCATAGCTCCAGCCTTCTACATAACTGAAGACTAATGGTGGGAACACCAGGAAAAGTAAGGTCCCAGTGGTTAGGAAGATGGCCACTGCCAGTGTTTGAACCACCTGAAAGAGAAGAGGAAGATGGCAGCTAAAGAGCATAGAGCAGATGTCTTGTCAAAATTGCTATGTCTGTTTGTACTCTTGAATCACAAACCCACCCCACCTGGGAGAGATGGCAAGAAAAAGGATAAGCCAATGCTTCCATGTACTGCAGGCTGAGCTCACTGCTTACTCTGCACATAGATATTGTACCTAAGCATGAAAAAAAAAATCTTAAAATTAGGGAAAAAAGAGGGATTTTTAAAAAGCTTTTTGCAATGAGCTTTCAAGAATGCTCCAGTCATATTTTCAGATTTACTATGACAGCCATTGTAGTGAAATACTCATTTTACAATTTAAATTCAAGTAGAGATGCTCTTGTAGTCAACTAGCTATTGTCTTTGAGGAAAATCACCACATACTGCATAAGTCATGAAGCAAAGATGGGCAAGAACAAATTAGGGCTCTTTTCACTATGACTGCTTCCAAAGATTTATAAAGTGGCTGGCAAGAGCTCAGCCAAAAATATATTTGGATGAAACCTAAGTGAAGTCAGTATGCTTGCTTTCATTTTTAACTTAGAAGTGCTCAGAGCAGAAGTGGTTTGTGCTAGCACAGGGCAGATCTGTGTCTCTCAGGACAAACATCTGCCTTCAGGGAGGTAAGTTACAGTATATGTGGCTGTGGTAGATAGGTACAAAGAATGGTCAGTGGATGGGTCCTGAAGGGATTTTAGGAGTTTACAACTGATGATCAGGAACTTATGGGTTTCCAGGGAGCACATTCTGGTGAACTTTTGACTAATGATGTGTGGGCTGATGCAAACTCATTGCAATTATTTAAAAATGCCCTCAAGGGCAATCAAACCAGAGAATGATTTTCTATTAATGAGCCTGTTGTGACTGGAGGAAAAGCCAAACCACTGCTTATAAGTGGAAGGTTCAGATACCATGTTTTAATTTCTCTCTCTGAATTATCTCACATGAAAAATGCTCTGAGCTTGAGAAACATGGCTTGAGATGACTGGGTGACTTTGACAAGTTGCTTCTATATTATGTGTCATGTCTCTCTAGCTGTTTAATAATATTTGCCTCATTTGCAGAGCAGTTTGAGAATTACTGATTGACATGATTATAGTTGATATATAATTCAGTTGTTCTCATTTCATTCCAGTACTGTAATAGAGTTTAATTACATAATAAAATTTGCATAAAAATGTATACTGAAATGAACAATTTTACTTTTTAACCTGCCTTTTAAGAACTTTCTTGTATAAACCTGTAATGTTGGGAACATTAAGTCATGGAAAATGAAGAACAGATTGCAATTAATTTCCCAGACCATGAAAAAATTCTGTTTATAAGGAGATAAACCAACCTCCTTGAATAAACTTTTCAGAGCAAACAAGCATATACAGCTCCAAATCTTTGTCTGATCGTAGGAGTTCTGTCAGAAATGTCAACTCAGGAGTGAAAAGGGGGGAAAAAAAGGTCACATCCCCAAGCTGCTATCAGAAATCTAGGGAAAGATGCAGCTATACTAGCATGAAAATCCTGCTGGTGGTAGAGCTGCATGTGTTTGGGGAACAGGCAGAAGTTATGCAGCTGAAGAATTTCTTGCTTATATAATCCAAGTCTGCATTTGACAGTACCTTTATAGCTTTCCCATTGTAGATAAAGAATGCAGTGACCTAAGAGAATTTACAAATGTAAAAGAAAAAACTTGTGCCAGAACTCTGAAATGTTTCAACATATCTCACATATCTAATCTCCCTTTTCCCTAACTGAAGGGGTTAATTCATTGAACCTTTTCTCAGAAACATGCACCAACTTTGTAATAAATGACCTTCATGTATTTTCCCTTATCAGTGATTTTCTTATTGAAAAATGTCTGGACTAGTTCAACAACTCACCAATAAACTGTAAGTAAGGAGGATTATTTGCGTTTTAAGAAAAGAAAAGGAAGGAAGTGCTCAGTTGCTGGCACAAACAGGAAAGTTAATTCCAGCCAGATCATTAGGCCAATAAAAATAAGTTGCCTTTGCACAGTGTAGAGCTAAACTCTGGATAGATGCTGGCATAGGCTGGAGAATAAGAGCTTGATTTGGCAATGTGTATGCATGCATGTATTCTGCCAAGGTCACCAGGTCTATGGTTTTGCTGAGTAAGGTTTTAAAAAGGCAAACCTAGGGCCCCTCAAGCAAAAGCCTATAACTTCAAAGCTATCGTAGGTAGATTAAGTGTATCAAGTTTCTGATAGAGAGGGCCATGTAACTCCTGTGGTTCACAAAGGAAACCTAAGCTAGCAGCAGCAGCAGCTATCTGAGAAAAGAACTTTAACTGGTTTTAAAATAGTGAAATCAAATGGTAAATTGACACTGTACCTGGGCACGTCCTGGCTTTTGCACCCATCTTTCCAGGGTAAGCAGATGAGCATTGAGAGCTTTTCCCAGCTGATTGAGGAAGGCCAAGTTGAGGGGCACTCCAAATAAGGCATAAAACACACAGAAGATCTGCCCTGCCACTGTGCTGGGGGACAGGTTGCCATAACCTGGAAAAAAAGAAGAAAACAGCTACATGAAAAGGCTCTACAGGCAAGCTGCAGGCATCATGGAATGTTCATAAGCTTGGAACCTTAACTACATTAATCTTCAGGAACCTGTGGATCTAGGATTTTCTTCAATTAAATCTGTCTGCAAATTGCCATTGCTTATGATGAAGCCTTTTGTGTTCACTACTACTAGCTGAAAATGAAACATGAAAAGTATTACTCTTCCAGGTACTATTGTAACTTTCTATAGGTCTCTGATTTTGTGGTGAGTGTGACTCAGTGTTTCAAAGCAACCCAAAGATGTGTCCATGTACAAAATGATCTTGCATGTACCAAGTAGGGACTCAGCTTTTTTGGGAATATAAAATGCTGTATAGAGAAAAATAACAGGCATAATTGGAAACCAATAGAAAACCATAACCCACAGTAGCTGATTGTCCTGCAGGTGTATTCTGTCCATTAATTACATATTTCTGGGGGCTTTACAGGACAGTTGGAGGAAACACCAGTTTTTAAGGAAAGAGAGTACCTCACCTATAGTGGTGACAACAGTTCCTGCAAAAAAGAAGGAGTTGCTGAAGTCCCAGTTACTGGGATTTGTAGAGTTTCCTTCTGGGTTGACCCCTTTTTCCCATGCTTCCATAAGGACCTGAAGCGGAAAAGGTCAAAGGAGCAAAGATGAGGAAGAATGTCAGAAGTAGAGATAAGTAAATACTGTTTTCCATCTTGAGCAAGCAGAGTGATAAACAGTGTAGATAACAGGATAGACTTGGACTAAAAAGAACTTCTGCTGACATGGCAAAACTCGGAAATAGAGCTGGTCAGGAACTTGAACTCTTGCTACGGGAGAACAGGTCATAAAAGTCTGATAGGTTCCCCAGCTAGATGAGATCTAAGGGAAGGGGGTGGACGATTCCCCAAAGTGATCAAACTGGGAAAAAAATTAAAGTTGTGCCACAAAAAAGAATGTGGTTGTGCTCTTCTCTCCTTCTGTAATCTAGTCATCTCATTCAAGTTTTTAATTTAGGCATGTATAAATGTATAGTTGTGTCTGTGGGCAGGGGCATGAGGAACATGCTCATTTCTGTTTCCTCCATGTAAGTACTTGTAAGGATGAATTACTATTTTTGGCTATGACTTCCATATAATTTTCAGTGAATATGAGGCTCCTCCTAGTCTGAAAGATTAACTAATAAAATATTCTCTTATATTCCAGACAGCCCTTACCAGACCAACACTACAGTGTGCCAAAAAATTAGTGTTCCTACATCAAATATCCTGTCAACTTCCTTAATAAACATTGTGTCCTTTTGCTGTTCCCAAGGATTTGTCTGTGGGAGATTGGTTTCCCTCTGCTCAGTGGCTGGGGTGTTAAGAATCCCCTTGTTTGTCACACAGCTTACAAAGGATAAGTCACAGCCTTTGTAATTTTGCAAAATGCCTGAGGAATTACTTGTTCATCTCTTCAAAAGACTTTGAATGATGCAAGACATGAACAGGAGTCAATAGGAACCCCAGCTTTAGCTGGTTCCAGGAGTATGAGACCCAAGAAGATACTCTTTCTTGATTCAAATGTTAGCCACTCCCAGAAAGATTGCTTTTCTAGTGAACATAACTACTACAAGGTATCTGATTTTGGACAGGTTCTGCAATATTAGCTGATTGGTATTGATGGACTGAGTATCCTATGTATAGTAGCTAATTTGATTACTTCAGTAAAAAATCCTATAGCATTGATCAAATTTGTCAGAGAGCTGCTGGACATCATCATGTGTGACCTCATGATTGAAGTGTCAGCAGAGCTTATTTTCAATATGACAAAGAATTTTGCATTTTCCATTAAAAGCCTTTTCTTAGAATGAGAAGAATTTAACATGACAGATTTTCTAGAGTTACTTACTTAATTTACTGCTTAGAAGTAACACACAGAAACTACTGAGGTGTGAGTATTTTGAAATAATCACAGGTTGAATTTATTCCTGTAAGGAACACTTGACAGTTCTATGCATTTCAATGCACAAGAGTTCACAGGAGTTACATTCACATCATGAGAGCCAACACAGAAGAGTAAGGCGACTTTAAATGTTGAAGCTTTCAGACACAGTCTGACAAGGCCAGATTTGTTGGTGTAATTGATGCTGTTAAATACAATCCCGTGAAAGAACCCCATGAATGAAATGGCATCCCAGTGCCCAACAGACAGGCTCCTGTGGGACAGTTATAATGGCTCCAGGCTCCTTTCACCTACAGCTCAGGTAAGGGTTATGGCAGCTGCTGAATAGTTGTGAACATTAGCTGGTGTCTTTGGGAGAGAAGTCGTCCGTATGTAAAAGCAATGTGCTGTAATTTACATTAAAAATATGTACCTACATTAAGCTATAGTAGGGTGTGGGGAGAATAAAAACTGCCTGCTGTTTCTGCTCCTGTCCCCCTGCCAATGCACATTGCAGCCAACTGTGGTCATAGACAAGGATTTTGTCCTTTTGGTCTGTATTTATGTCACTTTGAGACTTTGAAAAAGTATGGACATGATCAAAACATGGACTCCTTACTCAATGCATCTGTTTCTCAGTTATGCTGTCAGACTGGCATAATTTCCTGACCAAAGTATGCCTACCAGAGATGCATTAGATAAAAGAATTTGGATTTGCACTTTCCCAAAGCTCCAGGCTGCTCATGTTAGGAGCTGCACCTCAAAATCATCCCCCAGCTAGGCAGTTTTAGCTATGCAGAACCAATGCAGTCTATTGACATGGAATTATAAGAATTTGTTTCATGCACGATAGAGTCAAAAGTTGATGAATTATAAGTGGTAACTCATTATAAGTGAAAATAGATATGCTAAGAAAAATCTGTGTTGAATCTCACATTGTAGGATTTAGGTTTAAAGAATTAAGGCATTAAGACAAGACATTTTATACTTGTTAGCTGAATAGACTGAGTGTGGGGGCTGTGTCTCATTTCAGTCTAACTACTATGACTTTTCAGATTGGAAATTATGACATGATGAACAGGCCTCCTTAACCATATAGTTAAAACATGCAGAGACACAACTGCTTCCCTGCATTAGAGATTTTATATGGGAAGAATAGTGTTCTCTAATATTAGTAAGAGTTAGACAAATTTGTTAACAGGTCTTTTGAGCAACATATGGGTCAGAGAGTACCTGCACTTACATATACCTTGAGGACTGCAAAGTCTCAGTACTCTGAAGCTTGGTGCATTGTAGATGATTTGGTGCCCTCAGCCGGTTTTGTCTGGAACAGCTTACAAGTGAAATTGTGTTTAATTCAGCAGAGACACAGCAGCAAAATGCAATTCTCTGAGTGGCACAGCAGTGAACCTAAGAAAAGTCCACGGAGTCAGAGAGAGAAGAATCTTGTATGTGTGATCTCCTCTAATGTTTTGAGGGTAGTGGAGATTTTAATAAACCTTTCAATCCAATAAAGTATCACAGGTTTAGAATGAGAATCAGGGTTTTCACCTCTGCAATCACTATCAGAGAGATAAGGGAAGGACAGGTAATATCACTAAGTCGTGAAGGTGAAAAAAATAGACATGTTTTTAGGCATGTAAGGTCTTGAAAGCTCTAGTCATTTTCTGGCACATGTCCAAGTTTCCACAAGTAATTTATCACAGTATTAGTAACCAGAACATTGGCTTTGTAGATGTAGAGGTTCAGGCACCTTTTCTACCATTTCTGATCTGAACTTCACTGTTTGCTTAAATCCATATATGAAGTCTGGGCTTTTTGTTGATCAAAATCTTATACCTTCATGGAAGTCCTCTGACTTGGGCAGTACAAATTGTTTTGAGTTTTTATCAGTTTTAATAACATGGTAGAAAGAGTTCAAACTGTTTAGGCACCCAACTTTGCAGCTGGGTATGTTTTGAGCACAAAGAAACTCAAGGATTCAAGATTTCAAAGTTCAAGGATTTCTGCCCAGTTTATGCACTACTATTATGAGAATATATCTGTAATATATATTCAGGAAAAGTCTAAGTAATTTACCTCCAGCCAGTTTTGAGGAAAAGGTAAAAATGTAATTGAAGTTGTCATTAACTGACAACCCATATTGAACAAAAAGCCTTTTATCTCTTCTTGTAAGCAATAGATAAGACAGCTTGTGATGGTTGACTTTATCTTTTATTTAGGCCTGGAAGTGCAGGACTGCCTTCAAAGGTAGTAGACAATTTCACAGAATCACTAGGTTGGAAGAGATGTCCAAGATCATTGAGTCCAACCCAGCCCTAACACCTCAACTAGATCATGGCACCATGTGTCACATCCAGTCTCTTTTTAAACACATCCAGAGAGGGTGACTCCACCACCTCCCTGGGCAAACCATTCCAATACTTTATCACCCTTTCTATAAAAACTTTTTCCTAATATCCAACCTATGTTTCCCTTGGCACAGCTTAAGACTGTGTCCTCTGGTTCTGTCAGTTGTTGCCTGTACATTGTGTTTTTTAGCACAAAAGGGCAGAATTTGCACAGGTTTGGACTGAAGAACCTTGGAAGGGCAACCTACTTCTTTAGGTTTGATTCTCAGTTTTTGTTCCCATGCATAATTCCCAGTAATATTTAATGAGGGAGATGAGAACCATGAAGTTGAAATTATTGCAATGTAGCACAAGTGTGTCACTAGATGCACTTACATTTTGGGAGTTCATGATTGTGGAAAGAAACAAGTTCTGTAGATCAAGATACAGAAGTACATGAATGAGAAAGTTAGATATCTAATATCATGGGCAGCTGATTGGTTTATATTATGCTAGGCTACTTGGCTCCGGTAGTATAATTTCTTCTAATGAAAATAATGCTTGAGCCAAAATAATGAGAACCCTTTCCTCTTACCTGTACAAACTGCTCCAGGGCTTGTCTGTCCAAGCATGTGTAATTCTGCAGGAACTTGAGCTTTTCCAGTTGGAACTGGTCCCGAAAATGTGTTTCTGCCTGCTTCTCCAGCAGCTGGAACACCATAGCACCCAGGAGGAGGTAAAAGAGGTACCCCAGTACCAGCAGTGGAGTCCAGCTGATCTGCCGGCTGTGCATGGTGAGGAGGGGCATGCTGCTGATCTGCCCTTGCCAGTCCCTGCTCAGAACTTCATAGGTTACTGTTCCAAGATGTGACCTACCCAAAACACCAGGAATCACACACCCATGTTCCCAGTACTGCCCTGGAGAGTTTTTCAAAAAAACATCAGGGTATCAGGGCTTACAAAGTGAGACTAACAGAGAAATTTTATCCCTCCACATCTGTTCTCTATCCAAAATAAAGGGTGAACATTTATAGCTTAATAAGACTGTGAATCATAGTGTCTTTCTTCTATTAGCTTTTATCCAAAGATCTCAATCGAATGAATAAAGCTCTCTGAGAATGGTATTAGTTTCTAGTCTGGGAAGCTGAATCAAAACTGTGGTTATATGACTTACCCTAGGTCATATGAATATAGAACCACAGATAAACTCTTAAAATCTTGATAAGTAGAGCCTTATTCTAAACACTAGACTTCTCTACAACAAAATGCTCTAAACTCTCTAATTACAGCAGACTCCCCAGAAAGAAAAGTATGGAGCTGAATAGATGGAAAAGTCAATAGCTGCTGTCTGTACCATACCAACGTTGCTGGCACCAGTAAAACCAGCATGGTGAAGCTTATAAACATCCTGAATTCAACTTGGTCACACAAAAGAACCTCTTTCTTTTCTAGTCCTAATAAAATCAATCCCCTCACTGCCTCAACTGCTGCTCCTGAACCCTGTCAGATGACTTCACCCTTTAGTCCACAGAGTTAGAGAATAAACCACTCATGCCTACTGCCTTCAGTCTCTGTATTGCCCTTTTAATCCAAATACTTAAGGGTGAAGGAGGGCATGTGGTTAATCATTAGCTAAAAAACGAGTATCATTTTCACTCATGGGAGCCTTAATAATTATCATGCACTGGAAATGAGCTGGGCTTGCATTTTTTTCTGTAGGAAGAGCTTTATGGCAAGTGTCATCTATCACACTGCTTCTGAAAGAAAACAAACACAGACACACACACACACGAAGATGGCCAGGTGGCTAGGGCTGCAATTTTGTTATTATGCTCCCTTACAGTTAAAATGTTCTGGATATAGGTATCCCTACTTTGCTTAGCATTCATATGGTTTTACTCCTATTTTCAAACAAGAGGTAGTGCTCATAGAAAAAGACTGAAAAAATTATTTTATTAATATCTGTATCTGGGAGTATCCCTGGACTTGCCATTTGTACTGTGCTCGTAACAATCCAGAGGAGGATGGCTGACCACCAGCAGCAGAATGTCACTTAGCACTCTGAAAAGTGAAAACTATTGTGGATAATTCCCAGGAGACCATCCTGGACTTTGTCTGGGGCTGTTCTGTTAGTGTGAGTAAGGAAACAGAAAGATTTCAACAGGGAAGTGCAATGTGTAAGGACTCAGAGCCTTGGTGGTCTGGCATTTCTTTTCAGCTGAAAAAGTGAAACATTTGGGAGTTAGAATTTAGAGCACTGCAACAACCTTATGAAGCAAACTGACCTGAATCAGCTGAGAATCCAGCTTATTATCACTGATGGAAGGCCTTTTCTTGTTCAGTGCCAAGGATGACATCTACTTACACAGTATCCAACAAGATCATCACTCTTGTGTCCGACTTCCATAACTAAAAGGTACAGCTTTTTACTCCATTTCCACTGCAATTATATGGGTAGACAAGCCTGGAGGATTGCACTAGCAGGGCTGTCTCTGGTGGGAGCTCCAGGTGTTTGTTGTTGGTAGGACCCATGCCTAACCAGGCCAAGAGAATGCCAGCCTACCTGCTTTCTGGAATGGATGCAAACCATGGAATTGTGCACAGCTGTGCTGGGACAAATTTTCTCAGTTGAAGTACATTTCATAGTTAAGGGTATGAAACTATATGATATAAATGAACAAATACAGCCCATAATCAGATTTTTTTTGTCCCCTTCTGTTCTTTCAGTTCAGATCAACAAAGCATGCCAGCTGACAAAGTTGGCAGTATAAATTATGCCTTAAGAAAAAATGTCCACACAGACTTACTTTTGGGATCTTAATTTTCTAAGGTTTTGCAAATTGAGTCACTAACATCATCACAGTATGCTTATTTCTATAACACAGTGTTTTCTACTGGTTTGGTTCTTTCCCCCTCTAGTGTTAGGCTGCAATATAGGAACCAAATAAAGACAGAATCTGTGCAGCAACCCAGAAATGATGCCTTGCCACAGGAAAAAAGAAAGCCCAATATATACATTTTGAAGGAAACTGAAGACTTAATGGTTTTTGTGTGAGTTCTGAATCTGGAAGAAAGAGTTCAGCATGGCTTACCACATCAGAAATTAAATTTGGCTTCCAGGTAAAAAGACATCATATACAATGTGCTGAAACAACAATACTAGCAAATCACTTTTTATGACAGGATGACAAAGCACACTCTCTAGTCTTAACTTCTCTTGTTGCCTTTCTAATGCTCTTCTGATTACAAAATAAACAAAACCTGAGTTCACAAACTTCAGGAATAAAAAATGCAGTATGCAAGAACTTTTTAATAGTAGCTGAACGTGGAAGTAGACTGTTTTTCCAAGGTCCTGCTTTTCCAGTGCTCCTTGCCAATATAGAATGTAAGAGTGCATCTGGTTTCAAAACTAGGGAATGACTTCTCACGAAACATATTTTGAATCCAGGACTGGACATGATCTCCTTGATTATTCCTTCACTTGTCTTTCTTCCTCAGTGTGACTGACCCAATAGGATCCAGCTTTTCCCATAGAAAATCTGAGCCATTCTGGAAATGACAGATACCAAAATGACATCCTGGTTTACAATATACATAATAATCACTTTTCATGTATCACTTGGAGCAAATCAAAGGACTCAGTGTTCTCCAAATGCTTTACCTATTGTTCTTACAGCCCCTAACAAATCTTGAACATGGATAGATGTGAAATAAAAGATAGGCCAAAAAAATAAGTGACATGGTTTGCTCACTTTCCTCTTTGGTTTTCAAAAGCCGGAAAAAAATACCACTGTGATCAGAAGTATAATTTACATCAACACAAATAAGCTGTTTCTAAATTAAGTAATTAAATAAGTCAAAAGATATCTTCACTGATCCTGATATTATGAAGCTTCTGATAGAGAATGATTTCTGGACTAGTTTTTTTGGTAGAAATGTCTCTGTACAGAATTAGTTGACAAAGTGGATGCAAAGATCTGGGGATTCATTCTTTCACATGCTAAGCATTTCAGCAAGAACAGTTTCTACAAGGAAATATTGAATTATTTTAATTAGTTTTGCTCCTTGAATGACTTTTAAAATCTGCACTGCAGAGAAAAATTAAGGAAATTATTTTTAGAACCATATTAAATATAAATAAGAGAACCATTTAATTTATTCAGGCATGACAGTTTACTTTGCTTGTCTTATCAATGGGATTTCAAAGCAAACATTGCAGGAAGTGAAAATATTAAGAAAAAAATTTGTAAAATATATTTTTTAACATTGATTAAAGCAACAATAAAAGTGATTCATATGAAATAATATAAAGCCAGTGGTTTGATTGTTGTGGTTATTAAAAATTCACTGTAAAAAGACAAACGCATTCTATATAGAGCTACCAAATATGCTATATGTAACAAGGCACGTTCAGATGTTCATCTTCTTGGCATCCATATTCACCAGCTGCGTGTTTGCAGCAACATTTATAATATCTTAGCATTTTATTATGTTGAAGTCCTCTCAGTTTATACTAATAACATAAAATAATTGCATCCCATGATTGATTAAACCAGGTAAGAATATATACATTATATACTTACACTGTTACACACTCGTGAACCTTATTACTCCTCTTCAAAGCTTCTTTCTTTGAAAAACACAGGAGTGACAGAGGGAGATTGAGTTAGGGCATGTCCATATTCCAAGAAAGAGAAACTCAAAATAAGGTTATACCATTTTCTTCTTGGAGCTCTCTGGAAAGCTGCAGTGGCCAGGAAGTAGTGAAATGCCCAAGCCAAAACCTGGTTAACTCACGGGTTTCACTAATGCAGGTTCAGACTCTGTACAGAACCCTGGCAGATTCAACACAAATGAGAACAGACCCTTGGCCTTTATTATAATCTGGGTCATATCCTGACCCTCCCAGAAGCTACAGTGCTGTAACACAGCAGAGCACATGCATCATCTTCTGAAATTAACTATATAGAAGATTGGAAAAGTGTTGAAATAAAAGATGAGATGATCCACAATGCCTGGTATCAATTAATCCCAATTAATATCTGTATGGGATCTAGCATTCTAGAGCTACTTCCTCAAGAAATCCCCACCAAAAAAAAAGAAAAGATATTTGGATTTATTCTGGTTGCAGATAATAAATAAATTCTGTTTACCATATGAACATTGAACCAAATCCAGCTAGATAGGATGTGAATTGACTGAAGTGAGATGGGCATGAGGAATGCCATGCTTAGCAATGCTGTTTTACAGGTGGCTTAGAGAGGATTCCAGACCAGGATAAGTGTGGGCCTCTGATTGTTTCTTCAATGTAGCAAATGCTTGGGTTATTTCAAATTAATCTTGAAGTTATATGAAGAGAGATTATTAAAAGAAGGAATTTTGCTTGTCGGTGGCCGACAATAATTTCTTGAAGCAATAAATGCTTTCAGAAAGCCACACAGACTTAGAGAAGAGATCCAGAAGCCCTTCAGCACCTGAGAGAAGGTCATCAAAAGCTGGAGCCAGGCTTTTGACAGTGTGGCTTGTGAGAAGGAGACAGATAATGACAAAAAGAAAAGTTCAGGCTGGACATAAGGGAAAAGTTTTTGTCAAGATGACAGTCAAACATTAGAATGAATTGCTTAGAAAGGTTATGTGGTCTCCATTCTTGCAGAGTTTCAAGACCACATTGAACAAAGCCCTCAGCAGCTTGGTTTGATCTTGTAGCTCAAGCTTTTTTGAGGAAGAGGTGGGATTAAAGACCTGCTGAAATAATTTCCAACCTGAATTTTCCTGTGAACCCAAGACTCAATTTTTGAAGAGAGGAACAGTTTTTTTTAAGAAAGAGAATGCTTTATGTCTTAAGACTATTATTTACTAAATGAGCAATCTTTTTTTCCACGTGATCTTATGAAAATTTTCAAAATATGCGAGAAAGACTTTCTATTTTTTTGTATGGTGTTATATATTTATACGGTTTTTTATTACTGGATGCAGTTTTGTCAAAGCTCTTAAGTGCCTGGTAAAATCTTAATCTTAGACCATTTTGCCAATCAGGTACTACTTTGTTAACAGTGATTGAATTTCACACCAAATTTATAATAGAGTAAAAAAAGGCTAGAGAATTTTGAAACAGAAGAGTAAGGAATTTTTTTCTCACTGTGAGTGAGATGCGTGGCAAACGGAGAGCAGAACACTGAATCATCAAGTAGTAGCAGCATCACATAACTCTTACAAAGATAGTGCTGAGATCCTTCTTTTAACCAGCTACTTAAAGCTGTTGGAAATGCTTCAATGTCAAAAAGGAGGAGATGTTGGACCAGTGATTCCCTTTAAGCCACCTTCAAATAAATCCACCACAAGGGGTATTTCACTGGAAACAAAAAGGGGTGGTTGCTTGACCCAGCAACATTTTGGAACCTGTGGCTCTTCTCCAGCTAGCAGTGTTGAATGGAAGCAGGAATGTGGTCCTGCTCTCCTCAACAAAGCTGTATGAACAATAATGCAGAGCATATTTAATACACTGTTTATATATAAAAGAGTGAGAAGAAGAAAAATAATGACAGACATAAAAATTCTGGAAGAAGGACATTTTAATATAATCTCCAACAAAGCAGACATATAAAAGGGAGAAGGACTGTGGATTTTTCATATTCTGATTAAATCCTTGAACTCTTCTCAAAGCAAAAGTAGATCTGACTTTTATCTTAGTTTACAGATACCAAATTCTACTAAAGCTTACCAATTTATATGGTATCTGTATTGACTTTTACAGAAAGTTAAAACGGAAAAAAAGGTACAACTTTAATATTTTTGAACTGATTGCATATTAATTGTTAATTTGACAAACATATTTTCTGTAGGTTTGAAGACAGCAATTCAACATGTACTTCTGTATAATTATGAATTTGACAAAGAATTAAGTATCAGCATGTATATAAAGAAATATACATCCTTGAGAATATGTGACTTCTACTAATATATTGCTTTATTTTTATGTGACCAATCCATACACCTCTAAATGCATGACTATAAGATTATCACTAGCATAAAAAGTGACAGCTTCAATATGGTAGTATGTATATCTCAGAGAAATAGACTGTACTTTGCATTGAATTTTTTATTTTAATTTGAGGTGTAAAACAAATTGTTTCATAACTGGATATTATGCAATAAAATAGTACCCAGTCAATAGTGAAATTACATTGAATATAAGATATAAATGCATTTAAATTTTCACATCTCATTGGTGTTTCACAAGTATTGGCTTTGTTCTGTTTAAAGCCTGTTTAGTGTCGTTGTTTCTTCTAAAACCTGTATATTCTGGGAGGGTATGCATTTTGCACAGCATATAATCCATTCTGTACAACATTTAGTCCATTCAAATAAAAAGAAAACAGCTGAGAAATTTTGAGCTCTAGAATTACTTCCTAAAATACATTTGGTTTTATATTACAATGCAATCTCAGTATTCTAATAATCTGATATGAAAATTGTTATTCCTTGAGGGGGAAAAAATCTCAAATGAAATTTTATGGAATTTTGTAATGCAGATAACTACTGTTATTGAATGAATATCTCTTGATGTTCAATAGGTATAATTAACAAAGCCTTATGCAAATCAATGCAAAAAACCCCTACCAGCAGTAATAAGCCTTTCCCAGATTAAAGATGTATAAGTGCATTAATATATTAGATAATTTTAATATTTAGAAATCTACAATGAATTCTCATAAACAAAAATGTTTGTCAAACTCCTGATTAGTTGTTTCAGTTTTGTTAATCTTAAAGGAAGGTGAAGATACTGAGTGCAAATACTCAAATATCTATTGTCAGAGAAATGGATTTTGCTGTCAAAGACAATTTATATGCTATTACCAATTAAACCTGTACATGTGAAGTACTTACTTGTACCTGTTTCTAAACAGAAGAGGAAGGGAAAGAATAAAGGACTTTCACAGTTTCTAAAAGGAAATAGTGGAGTCTGACAAGAATTTCATTTGTTCCCCAAGCCTGAAAGGAGATAAAAAAATACATTAGACTACATTTCAGGTTGCATTGTCAGTTTTAAAACAAACTTCAGAAATACAAAACAGAAGAAAGAAAAAAAATCCTTTAATTTAAATCTTTTAAGACACAAAAATCATTCATCTACTCTTCTGCATTTTCATTTCTCTACCCAACACTGAATGTGGCATCAAAAGCATGTTTGCCGAGTAGCCCTTTTCTAAAAAGCTTTCCAGTGTTAGTTATTACAGTGCTCCAACAATCCCAGCAAGACCCTGTGAATGTACCTGCTTTAATTCTGCTCTGTTTAGAAAGCAAATGGTAATAACCCACAGTCCCTGAGGTAATCTTTACTGAGACCTCTCATTCCCACCCCTGCATTACTGTCACTAAGGAAATTGAGCATTCCCATGCTTTCCATTTATGAACCTTGTTTTCCACTCTGTTGGCTTCTGCACACATTTTTTTTCCCCCCACCTCTAATGTATAGTAGGGCCCCCAGCTTGCTTCTAAGATACTAATACAACAGTTTGAAAGGATCAGGGTCAATAAAGGAAAGAGCAGTAAGGATGTTGACAGTTTTAAGCCCAGCAGACTTTGGCTTGGCTGACCCTATGCTTCCTCATGTTTCCTGCAGGGCACTGTGTGTGTAACAGACATGCAGAGAGTGAATACATTTGCATGCAAATGTAGAAAGGATTGTTGAACATCTCAGTTGAAGAGAGTTTAGTAAGGAAGCAACAGAGCACTGAAGTGGGACTCAGCACACTTTGATCTGTGTGAAAGTGTCTGATGCAGCTTAATGGCTCTGGGCAAATAATTTCTCTTATGTTTTTCATGTGTTTGAAATTTCTTGAGGAAAAATTACATGACTGATGACACAGTGTTTTTCCCCCAAAGTTTGAAGGGAGACTACATTCTTCTTCTACTTTTCCTCTCTACCTAACTCTACATCTGAGAGTTTTATTTTGTGGGGATGGGAATGGGGACATCATAGCCCCCATCCTTGTCCCATAAAAGAAAACCCTCTAGTTCTCCTCCTTTATCTTGCTAAATTAGAATTTACAAACTTTATTTGCTCAATGGTTCATGCTATCAGTGGCTCCATCCCTTAAATCTGGAAGGTTTTGCCTTTCCTCACAAGGAAGAAAAGCCTTTTTTTATCTGCTAGGTTGACTGCAAATCCTTCTCAGAACTTGCTGCGGAGTAGTCTCTTGTCTGTGACACATCAGGTCCCTACGCATTTGCTGAATTGATATAGCCTCTTTACATTTTTATTCTCCTGCTCATACTTAGCAATTTGTTGAGTCATCCAGCCCTGCACTGCCAGGAAGAGCAAATGATACTCCATTTCTTTTTCATCCACTTAGGGAAGCTCATCTTGTCTGACTGAAATTCAGAATAATTTTAAGCGTTGACTGTCCTTTGTTCCACAAGAATACCTTTTATGACTTGGGGTCTAAATAGCTGTCAATGTTGATAATGTCTAGTCCCTTCTGAAACTGATGGATAATGCCAGGTGATAGCCACTGGCTGAAAACAATCAGGATGGAAAAGGCATTTGAGAGAGACATTTTTGATAAGGTGTGATTTAGGAGATGATTATAGGATAAGATGTGCTCTTGTTAATTACATTACATCACACATTAAGTTAGATTTCGGCCTTCTGAAGGCCTGAAATATTTGTTGTAAGACATTTATCTCTAACCTTCTTTTGATGAGCTGCCTATAAATCCAGTTTAATTTCATTTGCAAAACAAACCTGACTACAGCTTTTCTAAATAAAGACAAAAGAGATCCCAAAGCCTAAGCGTGCTAAGTGTTTGCTTTGGATGAGTGTAGGGTAGGGACACTGTATTTTCAGCCAGTGTGTGTTTACCTGACAGTTTTCTGATAAGCAGTGTGATACCAAAGCCCCACTTTGTGACAGTGCTAACACCATCTGCCAGGTGCAGATAGCTTGTTGAAAAATGCTGTCGTCAGCAGTGAACTGCTGATGGAAAGTTATTGCTTCAGTAACCACTAACATGCTCATATTCTGTATAATTGGTTGCTGCCACTAAAAACTATTATTCAGGGGGAAAAAAAAAGCACAGGTCATTTTTCTTTGTCATAATAAATTTTAGGTTACCTTGCAGTGACACTGTTTATTTATTGCTTTCTGCTTCCTGCCAATTTTACTTATCTACACTCTAGAGTGAACTTTATTACCTTCCTATGATTGTTCTTGGTATCTGATTTGATGACAAATACTCATAGAAATTTTCATTAGACCTTGACATAGTGAAATATCTGTTGAGGGTATTCTCTTTCCAGGCACAGTGGGCCAGTTGGCCTCCTGAGGCAGGGGTACAGCACAATCATTTGAGTTATCTTTATTTGGTTTCAACTGTTACAACTAAATTTATACCAGATGAGAATCAGAACACATAGTTTAAAGAAAATCTATAGAGAAAAATTTGGATCATCAAGGAACCACATTCAAATGCATTTGCTTAAGGGTAAAATAATATACTATGCAGGTTGCACAGCCATGCATGCACCAGATATTCACTGATGGTGGCTTAGTAAAACAGAGAGCCTTCATAATTTTTCACTGCAGCATTGAGCCACTTAAGAAATACATGTGAAGAACCTCAAGTTTAGAAAGGATGAGAACATAATATAATAAAACTGAAGCCAGAATCAGTTTTCACTTGCATCAGTGAAATGTGGACTAAAGCTATTTTGACTTCAAAATGCTGTACTGGAGATTTTGGTTTGGCTTTCTATATTTTGGCAGGATTTACCTTTCTTCTGGAGGATGTTCTGTCTTGCTTTAATGAAAGCTAGGATGTCAGCATCAGCCTGGCTGTCTCCAGTCAGAGGAATAGATGAACTTGGTGGGGTCCTGAAATAAGAAAGTATGCTTGTGAACTCAAGGGAGTAAGAGGTTAATTTTTCTGTCACGTCTTTTTTTTTCACCATAAAGGATTTTATTCTTTAGATGCATTGTTAGATATGGCACAGTTAAGCAGAGAATTGATCTCAAGACTTCTTAATGGCCTTATGTAGGTTCCTAAGATTAGCCACCATCTCTTTAGTGTGGCAAGGCTACTTGCTTATCAGCTATAGACCTCTCGCAAAGGGTTAAAAATATTGTAGTGCTGAGTCAAAGACTTAATTACCAAGTGGAAAAGCTTAATGTAGTGAGTTTACAAAGGAAATGATGGATGTGACTATGCCGTGTGTTTGCTTGCTTCAGGCTGTTATACATCTGAACGGATCAATAGCATTTTTGCCTACTTTGGGGGAATTAAGTTTTCATACATACACAGAAGTAAACAATCACATGGTACTCAGGACATTATTGTATTTGCAGGGCAATGCCCTGATGAAGCAGGAATGATGCATCTGACTCCATGTTCTCAGAATCCCTATTTATTACTTTAGTATAGTTTTTTTTACTTTCATACTATGTTATATTAAAGAATACTATACTAAACTATACTAAAGAATACAGAAAAGATACTGAATGCTGAAAAGATAATAATTAAAACTTGTGACTCTTTCCAGAGTCCTGACACAGCTTGGCCATAATTGGCCAATGAGTCAAAACGACTCACACCAGAATCCAATGAAACAATCACCTGTGGGTAAACAATCTCCAAACACATTCCACACACGAGCACAACACAGGAGAAGCAAATGAGATAAGAATTGTTTTCCTTTTCTCCGAGACTTTTCAGCTTCCCAGGAGAAAAATCCTGGGCGAAGGAATTTTTTCAGAGAATGTGAATGCCACAGGGCATCTCCTGACAGACCAAATCCTTTGTGCTGCTGAATCTCCAGTTCCAGCTGAACTCATGTACCTATGCTGTTAAATCATTGACTCATGACTGTTTTTAACAGATACTCTGGTGGTGTAAGATGATGTAATACAATGAAGCTATTCTACTCAGCTGAGAAAGCTAAGAATTTCCACCTGCATCTTTAACCTTATTTGAAGATTGAGCACTAATTGGGAGATGAGAAATACAGCAACAAAAAATTACAATACAGAGGGACAAGGGGAACTAAAGGGAAAAACTTTTTTTTTTTACATTTCATACCTCTGTAATTATAGTTATTTTCACTGTTCCATACTGACTGCAGCAGTAGGTGGTTTCTATGACTGACATATGCAGCAGTGTAATATCCTTGTCTTTGTGCTACTAATTAAGTTCTCAGTTGCTGAATCAGTGAACCAAAATGGAAAAACAAGGAAGAAATTACTCTGAACTTAAAACTCCCCTATTTTTATGTAATTTACAAGGTAATCACAGAACACCAATAAGGGACTATTCTTGATTGATTTTCATTTACTTAGCAACAATACAAAAAATAAAAACCCACAGGATATTGAGAAGGTACTCTCTAAATTCCATTTTAGCTTCTATTTTTCTTCTGCTTTTCTTAAACACAAATGCAATTTAAAACATTAGGTTTTGGGGCATGACATTTTCCACGATTATTTTCTGCTCTAGAAATGGATTGTTTTGGAAAATGAAAGAAAAAACCCTTGTGCTTTCTTCTTACTAATGCATTAACTTGACCATATTTTCCTAAGGGCATTGATAGCCAGAACTGTTGAGCACAATAAGAATATAACTTCTGGAAGCAGAGTGACTTGGCATAATGTTTCAGTGGGAGAATAGAATGTGGAAATAAACACACTAGAAAAAATAGAGAGGCTCAAAACCCTAGTAGTTTCTGTTAACCTGATAAGCTAATTTTGACAAAGCAGTTCCTCTTTTGAGAAAACATAACATATAACCTTTGCCAAGCCTGAAACTTTTGCCATTTTATTTTAACAGAATAATTTGTGGGAGGGACATTAAAAATATTTTAAAGACAAAATCACAAGTATGAAAAAATCTCTGCCTAGTTCCTGCATTCTAAAATTCTTCAATACATACACACTCTGATTTCACTTATTTTCAAATGTTTTTATTTACTCTTTCAGAATACCTTTCTCTGAAAAGGCTGGGAAGGCACAGTCATGAATATTCATAAGTTTATAGAGGAAAAAGCTTCAGGCCAAACTCGAAACCACCTTTGTAATCCTGATGATGCAGCAGATTGGTGTAAAGCTATGCTGCAGCCTGCAGTTGGTTTGGAAATTAGAGGAAAATCTGCAATTTGTAAAATTTTTTTATTTTTATATTTCAAGGAGACTGTTTTTGAATAGATGGATGGAGGACTGTGAAGGCATTATATTATTTTATACTTTGCTCTTTCCTCTGAGTAGCCAAGGTATAGTTCTTACCTTGTTTTTAAAGTTGGGCTACCAGAAGTGACTGAATTGTTTTTCACAGGTGGATCTTCATTAGGGCTCTCTCTACTGGTGTCTGAAAAACTGAATGGGAAATGAAGAAATGAAGGAAAAAGAAGGAAATAAAAGAATACAGCCCTTGTGTAGGCAATATTAATACATACACTAACTAACTACAAAGAAGATGTTTTTCAAAATTTTTAAAAATCTATATAAAACACTTGTTTTTATAGAAGATTTTCAGAAGATTTTCAGTTTAATCCATATGATGATTATGTTTTTGTAGAGAATGTGGCTATGAAAGAATGACAAATACCTTCACAAAAAATATACTTTTAGTATTTGCGTTCTAAGCAGACTTGTAAAGCACTTTGATATATTCGATGTACAGTTTGTAATGGTATATTTAGTTCTTAAACTGAGTATTAGCCAAGTGAGGCCCTTACTCATTTTCTGTTCTTTCTTTAGTCAGGCAAAGTTGTTACCAAAATCAGCGAGAGACTGGGTAAAAATTCAGTGAGGACTTTGGGATGGGGCTTGTTGATGATAGCCAAATATATTGCAAACAGCTGCTGTGCATTCCTGCCTCTGCAGATATCATTATCAAGGAAGCTCACTGTTAGGGAGATGGTTTTCCACCACCGGATATCTAGAGACTCTCTGCTTTTCTTGGGAGTTGCACATACTGCCAGATCTGGTGCCAATCTTAGAGTGGAAAAAGTAAATTACTCAGTGTAAGGATTTTTCCAGTAGATGGCAGGATTGGCAAGTTCTTGCTTTTCTAGCTCTGCAGTAGTTTGTTCATTGTTGGCTGATGAATTGATATTTCTGGCAGAGAACTTGAAAAGGGAAAGAAATTTATTACTAAAATTTTACTGTTTTACACTGTGCCAGGTTCAGTTTTGCAGAAGATATTGTGCCCAGGAGTATAAGTCATTTTCAGCTGAACAGCTCCAGGTTTGCTGAATGATTCTCTTTAACTCCTCGAGTCCCATACCATTCACACCTCCCTAATTCAACTAAAGCAATATCTTATTTAATGTCAATAATATTCTGTACTTTATTACATCTACATATTATAAGAGCTAGAAAGGATGTGTGATGTTATTACCTACTATGTGGTTCAACAATGTCTGGGAACCTTATATCGTCATTCTGCTTTAGGATTTCCTGAATATTTTTTCCACTGATTTGGCAGTTCTTAAAAATGAAGTGATTAAGTGTTTTAAATTCAGTTTTCTAAAAGGCCTCTCTGTCTGTGCCCTGAGATACTGAGGCATCCAAGTCACATAACCGAGGTTTATTAAATCTCTACACATCAGCTGAACCATAGCAACCATCCTGACTCTATTCTTAGCCTACAACAAACATAAAGTAATGTGACTTAATGTGATTATTTTTATTGCTTTTTTAAAAATTAAAATAAGCATCTTTGCTTTCTCTTTGCCATGCACAAAATGTATAATTTTACAAATACTGAGTCAGCTGAAGTATTTTAAAGTTGCAGTAGTTTACCTATTTGAATTCTTTTTTTCCATTGTAAAAAAAAAAAAAAATTGCCCAAAATTGTTAAATCCCCATTTGAAAGGGATTTGGATTGATTCAAACCCCCCCCCCCCCCTCCCCCCTCCCCCCCATATACTAACTAAGGTGTGGCATGGTTAGAACTCTAGGGATGTCAGTTTCTAGTACATTCCTGGACCCAAGGACAATATGGCAAAACTTGCCTCAGGGTGCTCTGGTAGAATTGGAACCCACAGAAAGCAATATTAAAAAACCCACTTAGACTGATGAGACGATGCCCAAAATCAGGAAATTAACATTACTGCACTTAGAGATGCACCTTCATCTCCTATCCAGTGCCTGTGGGGTTGCAAGCAGACATTTTTATTGTGGGATGCAAACTGTTCTCCTGCAAGTTAAGGAAATTTATAAGGAAGCTTGTAACTATTTTTTGAAATGACTCAAAGTTCTGCTTCCATGTAAGAGGTTAACAATTAGTGTGCTAATCAAACAAATGATTTCATCAGTTTGGCAAAACTCAAATCCATCTCTTATATCCTAGAGATTTCTTTAATTCCTAGGCTAGAGAGATGGTCTGTATGGGGATAATTTGCATCCTTCATACTGATGCTCTGATACTGACATAGGAAGATAAGTTGAATCATAGGGGGACAAAAGAGTGTAATTCTGCTGTGCAGTGGTTTGTCTGTTCAGATATAACTTGTTCCTAGCCTGTTCTTAGAGTCAGGACACTCCTTATTCATCTGAGTGTTAGATGCTGTTCTAGTAATGCAAAAAATTGAGAAATGTTCTAGTAATGCTTTAGATTTAATGGCAAGTCATTATGCCAGCATGGGGTGAAGGTAATAATACCCCACTCTGTGTGACCAGCATGAAGGACTGGACATCTCAGGATGCTCCAACAAAGCCAAACAAAATTATGCCTGACACACTTTACTGTGATGAAAGTCTTCTTCAGGCAAGGGGTAGATCCAGAGATATCTAGAGATGCCATTCAACATTTCTCTAATGTGCAAACAGGCATTCCTGGAACACATTTTGGATTTGGGTGGACATGCAAGGTATGTAAGTCCTGTGTCTGTCTGTTGCCCAAGCTTTAACCTCTAATATTATTCAGCTTGTTTTGACAGTGTATGATTCCTATTTTCATTCTCAATCTATCTGATTTTTCCTTGAGTTGAATTTAAGAAATCTCAAAGACTGCTTCCTGACAACTTCAGTAAAATTCCTACTTTTTCTGGAGATTAAAGATAGTCTGTCAACTTTATATGTCTGTTTGTTTTCATAACCTAGTACCTGACGTTTCACCCAGTGGATAACTTTCTTTTTCTGGGGGGACTGGGGTGGGGGAGAATCCTCTGTTGAGAGTGTATGTCTCAGGCAGGCATGGGACAGGGGTCACAGAGATGTACACAGGGTTGCAGCAGAGTTTCCCTTGCTGCAGGAACCCAAGGACCAGAGACAACTGACCCATGGACTGATCAGCTCCATCAAGTACACTGGGTAGAGGAGCTGCAGAGACGATGCATGTCATGGTATGAGTGCTTAACTTGCCAGCTGAAAAATAATGGAAAATCAGGTAGATTAAAATGGAAATTGGAAATCTGAAGGTGTGTAACCTCTGTAATGTTAAGAAAACCTCAGCTGCAGTTGTCCAATTATCTGAGTTTTAGACATGAGGGGAACAGATGTTCAGTGTACAGACAGGAAAGATTCAAGCTGCTTAAAGCTGAGCATTTTAATAGCTGGCTACAAAATTAAATTTGGCCTAACTTGCAAATTCCTAGATGTATTGTTCCAGTTGTTACGAAAGAATGTGAAAACATTTGAAATGTCACTAATTGATGATGTTATTCCCAGATTATATTTTTATCATTATGTAACACTGCAGAAAATGGGCAGGAATAAAAAATGATTAGACAGAAAATGCTGTAAAATATGTAAACATTGAACCTGTTTCACACAACATTAATATAGGGGGTAACTGTTGCAATCCAGGACAGTAATTGTTAAAAAAATCTGATGCTTAGAGTCATCAGACAACATGAAGATTTATTTGAAAATGACTCCAAGGGAATTTAAAGTGCCAGGAAGACTTTGAATAAGAAACAGAACAGCCGAGGAGTCTGAGGTTGAACATACTGTGGGACTTGCTGGAATAGGACAAATGAGATGCTGTAAAAGGAAATGAGTGAGGTTAAGAAAGATTTGACTGAGATAAAAAGGAATGCATTCATTCTAAGAGGAGGAAAAAAATCTAAAATCTTTGTAAGATTTGAATAACTAACATTTATATGATTCAAAGGGAATACAGGAACCCTTCAACACTACTGAAATGAAATGTTCAGTGAGAGAAGCAATTTGAATAGACAAGGATCTGATAAATTCTTTAAATGAAAGCCATTGTGAGAGAGATTGTATGAGGAAGAACAAAAGGCTGTGCTTGAATTCTGAATGCATGGAATATATACGGGGTGCTGAGCCTGACATGCATTTTCAGACTTCTTGCAAACTTGAACAAGAATCCATTAAGAGACATAAACATATATACAGTGTGAGTTCAGGTAGCACCACAGCTTTCAGACCTCACTGACTGAGGCAGAAATGGTCACTATTCAACTCTTTTATTAACATAGACTCATTTCGACACTTTAACAATTCAGCCATTTTTTCAACTGAAAAATGAGACATATTTGGCCATGCATCAAGCGCCTTTTAGGTGTGTGCATCCTTCTTAAGCCTCAAAAGGATTACCAGCCTCCCTTCTCTGTTATTTTAGTTATAAATTAACTTAGTATAAAATAAAATTTGAGCCTTCCCAAGGCTTAATTTTCTCTGGAAACATGACATATTAGGTGTGTCAAACAATAACAATGCACACAAGTCATACAGTAGAAGGTGATCAAAAGACCTTGTTCAAACACACAAAGATTAGGAATACACCTGTGTCTTTTGCATGCTGAGTTATATAAATTATTATTGCTAGCCTGAAGATTGTATTTACATCCATTCCCATTCAGGAGTTTGTCTGAATGGTTTTACTGCATGCTTACTCTGTCAATAGCACTCTTAGAATTTAGCCTACATAGTTTTAGATCTTATACTTATTGAACACACCTGTTAACTGAATTCCATCTTGGAAACAGGTTTTATTTACACCACATTATATCAAACATAATTTATGTCAGCTTTTGCTTTGGTGGCTGGTTATTCTGCTGGGTGAAGACAGCAATATCATTCCAAAAGGAGATGGTTGATTTTTATACAGGCTAGAAAAAAGTGCCATTTGTGTCTCAGGAAAATAAGTGCCTGTAGCCTGGATTCATTCTACACAATTATGGGAAGTGGTAAGTAAAGTTGCTGTGACAACTGGGGCCAAAGAAATCCTTGGGAAATAAATATTCTACTATTTTATTCTTTTAAAGTCTGAAATTTGAAACCATTACTCTAAAATGTTATTGACTGGAGTAGGGGAAAAAGTAAATTTTCATGCCCAGTGGGAGGTTAAGCCTGTAGCTCCTGCCTCAGAAAAAGCAGCAATAGTGTTTCTACTTCCATATACATGCCACTGGAAATGTACCCGAGTAAAATACGTTTAAACAGCCTAACATAAAATAAGATCAACTTTTTAGAACCATAGGAAGGAAAGAGCACTTGACTTTTAAAGATTATTGCAAGAATATTGATAGAGATGGGAAAATAAAGCTACATTCATCCCAACTGCCTCTACAATTTTAGTTGCAGAAGATAAATATTCTGTGTCTGTGATATTTATGCAAGGATCATCCAGTCAGCCTCAGTCAATATGCCCATTACTTAGACACAGAGAAACTGTTCACTGTAAAGAACATACGCTTTTTGCAGGGAATCATGTGGGGCAGTACAGGACTCTGAAGTAAGCTTGGCAGCTGAAAGCACCCAGGCACCTTTCTCCATTCTAGTCAAAATGCCAGATGGACTTTCTTTAGAGTTGTCCTCTAGTAATAAACATGAACACTAAAGGCATTTGATAGAAAAGCTTAAAAAAACATAAAGAAATCAGTTATGAGATTTTGTTTCTGAGCCAGGGAAGGAAAACGAGGATTCACCACTGCTGGAGGCCAGTTCCCCATTGCTCTAGAAAGTGCCTGGGCATTACCATATGCTCTTTTTAGTTCAAGAATTTTTAATTAGAGTGTGAAAGGCATTGCTCTCCTGAGCAATGCATCAGCACACCAACTGAAATTTGTTGTTCCCAAGATCAGTGGGGCAGAGGGGTTGCACAAGAGATGCTTAGTTCAAAGGACAGTATAGAGAGTGACAGTCATGGATTGCTTGAGCTAATTTGGCTGAATTTGTGCTAAGCTAGACCAAAAATGCTCTCATGTTCTGGTTCGTGAGCTTTTCTCTGGGACAAGTAACCTTCAGCCTTAGACCAGAAATGAACAGCACAGATTGGGCCTAAAAGCATTTGCAAAGTGATTAATGCCTAAGTCTTGAGAGGACACTGAATAAGAACCAAAGCAAAGTAGAGAAGACTGGAGTTGGTTTTCATCAGTTTGAGAGATCTGAAAATGTCTTATCAGAAAACTTTAGAAGACTATGTCTATCATTTTCTATACTGATTATGGAGCATTTACTATGGATACATGAGAGTGTTAAATAAAACTTTAAGTTATTTTACAGTTTTAAGAAAACAGTAAAACATCATTTACGCAGATGACTGTCATAAAAATGTAGGTAAAGCCACTCAGCAGAGGAATGTTAATTGTGTAACAAGGAGGAGAGGGGGGCAGAAAAAGAGCAAGAGAAAGGTGGGGAGGGAAAGAGGAAGAGGGAGGGAGAAAGAAGGAAGGGGAGAGAACACCTCCATTTATTGTCCTTGAATGTGCAAGAAAGTGCAAGAAACTTATTCCACAAACCTTTTATTTCATAAAGAAGTTACTGAAATTCAAGTGGGATCCACATTGATTAACAGTTAAAATATGGGTTCAATCAAACTGGCACAGTCAGGTGTGTGGTTTCTTGCACACTACTTTCCCTGATGGTTATGAAAAACCTATTACTAATTTAAATTAGGGGTGTTAAAATCAGAGGTGACTGTTGATGAAACAACCAAGATGATTACATTTTTCTCCTGTATATGACACATCACCATCTTACAATATCAAATATAATATCATTGTGGAATAATATGCTGCATAAATGTAGTACTATGACATTTTTCAGGAGCAAGTCTATCTAGGATATATATGAAATAATTTTTAAATCTCTTTTGGTTTGAAGTCCCCTACATACATCCCAAAGGAGATACAGTCTCCTCATTCACAAAACTGACTGCTAACAGGCTTACCTTTTTTAGCTGTTGTGGGGCCCCTATAGAAAAGTTTCCAAGGTTCCAAGACAAACATGTCAAAAGAACTGAGGTCCTACCTTCAATAGGACTTTCAAATAACTGAATGATAAAATTTACTTTTTTACGCAATTGTTTCTGTTGTAACTGAAAATACAGTGTTTCAGTGTGGTACTTGCAAAAGCATTCTGGACAACTTCACTTTTATTAAAAGGGCATTTTTTCCCATGTAAGGAAGGAAAAGAAAAATAAGCAATTTACCTGATAGGTGATAGGTGCTGTGAGGATCTGATAAACTGTGGATAAACAGGATTGACAGTATTTGGTGAGTCAACCATCTCTGGCTTTTCCTGCTCATTTAGATTGAAAAACAAAATTATCAGGCTAGGATTTTTTTAAAGTGCTTCATATTGGACTATAAATTTCAGTAATAACAAGGTAAGCAATGACTCATTCAGAAAACACAGAGCTTGAATCACACAGTATTTTCTCCACTTGCACAAACACTTCTGAACAAAGAGAAAAGTATTTAGGATTGGTTCGAGTATTTTTAAGCTCAAGTTACAGGTTTTTAATATGTAACAGCATATGTTCACTGATTTCAGTTTCTTAGGGAGCTCAGATGTATAGATAGGTCAAGATCTAAGAAATCAATCCCAATTATGTTTTCCAGTTCTCTAATCTTCTACTGATGAATCATGAGAGGTTGAATTGTGGAACTCTCTTTTTAAGGGATGGAGAAAAATGTGTTGCTGTGTATTCAAGAATATTACTTTCAGTGCTTTGAAAAGCCTAAATATTTAGACAGGAGGGTGACTAAAACGTCATCCTCTTTGCCACCTATATGGTTAGGGATTTTAACTGGAAAAGTATTTGGTCATGCTAACTTGCAATTAGGCTGCTTAGGTGGCAGTGTATGGGTAACTAAGTTCCCAATGTTAAGTTCTGTATTTACTTTAGGCTGTTTTCTTAAAAATGTGGTTTAAATCTATACTCATGAGACTTAACCAAAATATAAGCTAAAACTTTCTTTCTTTATAACAACTTTTCCCCAAGGAGGAAATCTTCTCTTCCAGTTAATAATAAATGATATGGGATGGACTGCACTCAGCATTCTTTTTCATGAGGCTGATGTACGTTTGGCCGAGCTTTGCTGTGAGTTGCTGTGTCACTACTTGAAGACATTAAAAAAGTGTCAGAAGGGGAGCACAAGAAAGCTAGGTTGTTTCAGTAGAATGTAGTTTTCAGACTGATTGTGTTATGAACTTCCAATACAGTGGTTAAAATGACAGGTCTTTAGGTCATTTTTACACAAGTCATTGCATTAGCTCACTCTGTGCTTAAACACTGGTGGACTTCAGCTAGAGAGTGAGGAAACACCCTGTGCTGGGAGCTGATGATCCTCTGGGAGCCTAGGGAAGCTGAAAAGTTACAGGAGCCTTTGCAAGCAAAGGAAGCTAAAAAGTAATTTTTAGCAGTAATTTTGCAGCATATTTGCAGCAAAAAATGCAGATGAAATCATAGTTTTGCTAGCAGTAAAAAAGATTATTTTTTGCAATCTGCAATATTCTTTCAGAGTTGTTAGCATTTTGGGCCCATACTTCTCTACTAATCAAGTTGTTTGGGAGAACATCAAAAAGAAAATAGAGCAGGAAAAAAATGGATTTGTTTGAATTTTTTTTTAGCTTCACATAAGTATAATTCCCAGTACCTTTGTCCAACTCACCTTGGCATAAGTACAGGTGAACCAGACCCTGAATTCCTTCCTTCATACTCCTTTCTGTCTAGTCAATTAACTACTTTTTAAAGAAATTATTGAAGATGCTATATTCACACGAAAATGGAAGAAATACAAAATTATTTCATACCTGGAATTTTTTTGCCTCTTCAGACCACCAGACCTCAAAGTCTTTTTGCACCTTCATCTTCACTTTTTCCATAAGAAGCTGTAGGTGCTCAATCTCTACCTTCAGTCCTTTGAAGCGACTGTACACTGTTTTATAGCTAATATGAGAAGAAGAAAGTGTATTACAGAATTTCCAACATATATCTGAACAAAGGTTAGTCCTACCTAGAACTGTTAGAGATTTAAACTATAAAATAATGTATAATAATCAGAGATGCAGAGGACATAGACAGATGGTAGAAGGAAACATCTCATATCTTACAAAAGCTTCATGGGACAGTAAGTGCAAGAAACTTATTCCACAAACCTTTTATTTCATAAAGAAGTTACTGAAATTCAAGTGGGATCCACATTGATTAACAGTTAAAATACAGGTTCAATCAACTATGAAAATTATTTCTTTTGCATTCTCAACATGTTACCATTAATAAATCACTGGTGTCTGGGATTCAGATAGGAGCTGAGACTGGTTCTCCTGATGGAAGCTTCATTAGATGCAAGCTTCATTACTCTCCTGGCTAATAGACACTTGGAGATTTACCAGGAGTATGAAAGAGCCAGATTTTTTCCTCAGAGATTGTGAATAACAAATGCCAGCAAAATACTTCATACTGATATCCTTGTATATACTTTTTTAAATCCTCCTGGCAAGGATTGGTTAACCAATGTGTAATCTGCATATTATTTACACTTAGTGAGTCCTGTATAACCTAAAGGGCTTCTTTAGGACAAGAAAGGCAGGACTTTTCTGAATCAACCCAAAAGGCTCACAGTACATTTGGATTCAAACAACAAATTGAAAACACTAATCCTCAGGGAGGACATTAAGCTGTTTTTATTTATTTTTAACCTTTAGCTCAAGCATAAATTTTACCTCTCTCATCTACTGTGGCATCTGACAGACAAACCAACAGCATATACACAAATTTAGAACTATTAGTGAACCACAAAGCTGATATTTTTAAAATGTCAGAGAAAACCCTGAGGGTAGCTGCATGTGCAGAATTATAATTGGAATATACTATCAGTATAATTTATCTTCTGAAGGATGGTAGAAATCTGAGGCAGAAGTAGTACCTTTTTTTTTCTTCTTCAATTTTCATTCGAAGATTCTCTTCTACTGGATCAAACGTTAGTTCTTCAGAAGGATTTAAAACAGCTATAAGGTAAATCAGATTTAAGCAATGACTATATGGTGTCCAAAGAAGCAACTTCTGATTAGAATAAAAACTAACTTTTAAGAGGCAGTTAATGAAATTGGGGTGATTAACCATTTCTCTCTTCTGGAAATGCTTCTTCAAATTCCCTATTTAGGCCTTACTTAGTAGAGGACATAGTCAATAACTAGTAATTTGTATAAAATTGCTTATAATTAGGTTTTTTCATAATTAAAAATTGGAACAATAATTTTAGATATAGATAAAAGCAAGTTAAACATTCATATTTGGCATAAAACACTATCAAATGTGTTAAACCACTTTTTGCAATGGCTTTGCTAACAAAAACAAGACCAGAAACTGTTGCAAAGAGAAGAGACATCAGTAGCTCTTGAAAGAGAAATTTGGAAAGCAAAAAATTAGTATATATAAGGAAAATATCCTTATATAATTTTCAAGGTAAAGGATAACTAAGGAAATACCTTAAGAGTAGCCTAAATTAGCAGCTTATGATTTCCCTATCCTGTAACAGAAGTAGTTAACATGCAATACACAATATGCTTATTCTGAGAGATTGTGAAACAGTCTTTCCATCACAGTTTATAGGTTCAGTGGTGAAAGGAAATGTAAAGTTACCTACTAATGTTACAACAGTTTCTGTTTCTGGGATGACTGAGAAGAGTTTTATGTTCCCAAGAAAACATGTTTGACCTTTTTAACTCAAGAAAAATTTAAAAAACCAAAAGATTTTCTGTACAATACATACAAGTTTCCACCCCAACTCTTATTTCTGCCAAGAAAATAAATCCTAAGTCAGTCTGTCACGAGGCCTGAGGAGCACACCATCTCTTCAAGGAGAGGAATTCTGTCTGGAACAAGAGGGCAGCAGTGATCCCTCTCTGCCTGTCAGCACACCAGCTGAAACCATTAATCTTTTGTAGTAGCACCCTATAGCTTAATACAGATGATGTTGAAAAGCATTTTATTTCATGACTTAGCTAAAGCATGTTAATACAGACAGTCAAGGTGGACAAAGCCCATGCACAAGTCTCATTTCATACATTGAAAGGCCTTGCTGTATGTGATTACAAAGAAGGATAGGGTGAATACATTTGTGGTGGGGAGAGTACCCTTAAAAGATAAAAATATAAACTGCTTGAAATGTTAAAGTGAACAAACGAGACAAGAGGTGGAGGAGATGATACAACAGTGATATTGTATAAGTTATACCTGAACATAACAGATAACACAAAGGTCATCATAACCGTGCCAGAACCTTTAAAGAAAGGAGAAAACTTTTCCACGATTGCAAGGGATGAGGATTTTCTGATTTCTCACATATCATCCCCAAGAGAAGGCATAATGGGGAAAAGCACAGCTACAGATGGAACTGCTGGGGAGACATTGCAGAGCTCCTGAGGCTTCATGCTTTTACTTCATGAGCACACAGCAGCCAGGCTTGAGGGAAATGTGCTGTTGTGGAACAAACTGAAATGATTTAGGGAGTTACTGGCTCTCAAGTGAGCCATGCTCACAGACTGTGTGAGAATCTTTGTTATGTTTCCATGAATATTCCAGCCAGACCTAGTGTGAGCCAATTTCAGGTTAAAGGGGACTCTCCTGAGCATGCTGAAGTGCATTTGTCCTATTTGCACAATCTGTGACTGTGTCTGAATTCAGGAGGCAGCAGCTCTAGCCCCTTACAATGAAGGGAAATAGCATGGGGTGGAAGAGTAACATCTTAAAATGTTAATGCTGTTTCTGAAGTGAGGACTTCCCTACATGAAAACATCACCAAATTCTGGTAGTTATTAGAGAGTGATACAAGCCAGAGTATACCTTTCCTTCCTTGGTTTATTAGGACATCTAGTACTTGGAAAAATATTTTTATATTAGCTTTGAAAGGTCAGCCAATCTTAGGCAAAATTTTGTCACTTGTATATAAAAACAGCAAAAGAATGGTTTTCTTTCTGCTGATTACATGCAGCAGATGGGATTTTTTGGTTGCATGTTACCTTCAGAAATAATAATAAAGCCTTTTGTATGAGATGAAAACCTTTACCATAAACAGGGTCCAGCATCCTCACCCACAAATGCAAGTCTGCCCATTATCCCTAGCTGGAGATGAAAGGCAGAAGCACAGCTGTAGACAAGGTGAGCAGCAGAGTTTTGTGAATGGAAAGAGATGAGTATACAGCAGGCTGGTGTGGCCCCAGCAGCAGATATAAAATCAGATAAATGGCTAAAACTTACATATCCCTGTGCACATCACTGAGCTTGGGTCACAAAAGCAGAAGAGATCTGATCACAGTGTCTGGTGAAGTCCAGTAGTAAGTCAAGTCCAGGACATGCCTGCCAGGGCACTGCTTTGTAAGTTCTCCAGTGTCTTTTCCCAAGCTGTTGCAATATCCATTTCAGTTTCTTGTCATGTCTGCTCATTGCAGCAATATGTTTGTGAACTGAGTAACATTCTGCTCCAAAGACTAGACCTTTGGAATATACCTACTGTAATATATACAAAGGATCATGGCTCTTTCCTGAAGTTCCAAGCAAAAAGACACCTAAAGTCTGGTGGATGGTATTTCAACACTTATGTTTCCTGCTACTTCTGCCTTCTCCTCATTCCCTGCTACTTCTGTTCTCCCTTCTCCTCCTCTTTACCTTTCCTGATGAATCCTTGCAGTGGCCTTTTTCTGCCCCATGGCTTCTGCTGCCTCACACCCCTCTCCCTCCTCTTACCAGTCCAGGCAATTTCAGCTACAGCTGAAGAAAGGAAGCTAAGGCAGAGGTTACTGGCTCACTGTATCTCATATCTAATGTTAGCATTCTTCAGTACATAGGCTCAGTCATTTTATAATAATGTTAGAGGGACACTGAACGAATAGACTGTAAAACATAAAAAGCATACTATTTACTCACAAATTCAATTTAGACACCTAAGAAAAAAATTCTTTTGGCTACAGCTTTTTTTCCTCTAAAGAGTTTATTGTACATATCTGCCTTCCCATGCAGAAACAGAAAATATATATTAACCACACATATGTCAAGTACATGGAGATTATGAAGCGCTGAAAAATCATGACATCAGCTTTGCCCACATACATGAAAAAATTTGCAATGCGTTAAAAGATGTAGTAGAGGTGCTATTGCTAAAATATTAACTATCAAATATAATTTCTGCAACTGCACAGAACACAAAATGGTATCTGCTTTGTTCAGTCAGGATTGACTTTTAATTCATTGTTTGACAGTTTGTCATATAAAACTCAGCTGCACAGTTTAGATCTATGCTTTTAGTGCATCAGCTGAGATGATTTCATTCAGTTGGAGTGTAATATCACATGCACTTTTCATGCCCCAGTGACTTCTCCTGGGCAACAAATGCAGTTGCTGCAATTTAATCCTGGATAATGCAGCCCCAGGTTTCAGGGGTGCAGGGAGGTATGACATGCATGCTTAGGAAAACATTGGCTCTGTATATACTAGGGGCTTCTGATGGCATCCAGTTCTGTACAACAGAACTATTTTGGCAGCAGTCAGCAATGTACTGATAAGGAGTATTAGTTTCTTACATTAACATAACTGCACATAGAGCTGAGTGGTAAAAATTATGAATCCTAAGTTATGACACCTTTTTTAAGAATACTGAGTCCTCAGATGAAAAGAGACTGGCAGAGAAGAAGAGACTGGCAGTGCCACACTTGGTAGGGAAATAGCTGGCAAATTTGATGCTTACTTTAAGGCTAACTGTTTTTGCTTCATCTTCATATACAACCGATTTGGTGAAGTGAGCACAGGATACAACTGATACCAGCTGCCCACATAGAGATGAAGGTGAGCTCTGCATGAGGTGACAGTTCATAGAATAAGAGTTTGTAATTTTTGGTGCTTTTTTTTCCCATAAAGAAGACTGTAAGAGGCATTTAAAGATATAATTATTAAATTCTAATAAAATGGCCAATTTTGGAGTACAGGAAGTAGTAAATTTTACAGCACATTCCACATGATCAAATCACAAAGTACCAGAGAGAAATTGTAGCACCTGCTAACTGGATCACTGTTTCAAAGCCATGTGGAAAGCATGGATGAAACACACTATTTCTAGAATGATACCAAGTGTGATCACCATAGTTTACTACAAACTGGCAACAACCTGAAATACTCTGGCAGATTCTTGTCTATAGTCAGAAAATTTTGCAAGAAACTCTCTGTGACCCTGAACTTTATACTCTCTGGAGTGCTCATATATTTCTCAACCTGAGTGTATCCTGAAAGTCAAACTCCTAGGGATTTATTGTCTTGTGCCTCAAATAACAATGTGCCTTGCCCTCCAGCTGTACTTTTGCAGTCAAATATTTTCATTTTTTTCACTGGATAGTCTTGTGTTTATCTGCTTAAATTTATAGTCACTTGAAGTAACCAAATTTAGAATTTACTTTAGTATCCCATTAATATATTTACTGCATTATTTATCAGCTTTGCAGCTTTTGGCAAACTCCAGTAGTAGTGCTTTCAAAATGGAACATATGTTGAAAGTTGATTTTTTTTTTTTTAAAGGAATACCTGTCTATCATTATTCAGGATCATCTTACAAGTAATTCTCCTCTTTTTCTTTATATTTCCCCAGGGCCATGTCAGCCTATGTTTGTCACTGGGCACCATGTGTGTACCTTATACAGAAGCAAAGATGAGTAGGCACAATGTAACTCAGGAGAAGATGAAAATACCCTAATGTCTTGATGAGTTTATATTGTGGGTTTAGAGCAATTTTCTTAACCCTAATACAATAGATTTTTAAAATTTTCAGCCAGTTTGTCATAGAATACACTGAAACACACTGTCCTATTTTCAGCATTTTAAAAGTTAATGGATGTGCAGTGGATTAAGGACATGTATTTTGTTGATTTTGATCACTGAATTTAGTAAAAGTGTCCATTGGTATGCTGCTTTTTAAATCTTTTTTTGTTTTGTTGGTTTTTTGGTAACATTGCATTGCTTACTG